AAACATCCTCAGCAGGCAGTGTCGTGCTTGAAAAGTTCAAAGATGTAATAATATGGAGGAAAACAAAGATGTTCTTTCCTATTTTGCCCAGATTTTTTCCTCAGCTGGTTTCCAGGGAATATAAGTCTTCATTGTTCTGTGTAAAAAGTGTACTAAAATACTTCAAAAGTCACAAGAATTGTCAGTCATGATTAGACCTTCTCTGATTATGGCTAAAGGAAAAAGGAGACTTTTTCAAAATGTTCTTTGAAAGTTTCATGGAATTATGATTTGGAATCAGAAGCATAGCCAAAATTGTTCAGATTCTGTCATTAAGTGTAGAAGTAAAGCGACACCAATGTATAAGGCCCTGTCTTTTCCCTAGCTCACTTAAGAGGATTCTGGCTGGCCACCTTAGTCTCATCCCTTCCTCTGCTCTCTGAAGATTCAAACTCTACTTTTGGAGCCTATAAAATAAAATTGGGGAAGAAGAGGAAAAGCTGGAAAAGAAAGGCATTTGACAGCATGGGATTAGGGGGTTTCAGAGCAATATGGGGAGAAAAGACAAGAAAGAACAGTTGGTATGTGACAGAAGTGTGTGGAAAATGGGGAAAAAAATATTGAAAAAGATTCCTTGGACCCCTTTTGTGGTTTTTGAAATATACATGCAAAAGAGTTTTTTTGCTTTTTGGTTTTTTTCTTTAAGATGACTGGTAAGAGGATCTCAACCCTTGACCTGATGCTGTCAGCACCACATACTCCCAAGTGAGCCAACTGGCCATCCCTATATAGGAATCTGAACCCACAGCCTTGGTGCTATCAGCACCACACTCTCCCAAGTGAGCCACATGCCGGCCCTAAAAGAGTTATTTTGAAATTGCTCTTTGGTGACCCTGATAACTCTCTAAGATAGAGCCGCATGGGACACTGCTTTATACAGACATATTTACAGCTGTCAATAAAAAGGATCAGTTCAGTCCTACGTTCTTCACATGGACACTAGGTTTACCAATTTCCCTAATGAAGATGGTTGCAATTTAGAGATATAGAACCTGAATAGGGGAACTAGACATTTGAGTACTGTAGACTTTTGTGAATTTTAATTTCAGAATTAGATTTGCTTTCCAGGCTTCTAAGAGAGAAAAAAAGGAAAGAAAATTTTCTCCAGAATACCATGTGTTCCTTAGGAGTGATAAGATCTAGAATAATAGAAGAAGAATTTACATGTTTATACACATGTAGATGAATAAATCAAAGAAAATATGCCATTCCATATGAAAGATTTTTCTGTCCTTCCCACAGGTATAATAAATGATCTTTTATAGTTATGAAATTCTGATTGTAAAGAACATTCAAAATTCTTCAACTCATGGTTCTTTGCCCTCTTTTAGTCTATTGGTTTATTTCTATTCCGGGCTTTTCAAACTAGCCTAACTGTAAGTCTGGAGCAGTGGTTCTCAACCAGGAACTATTCCCCACCCCCACCCTCAGGGGACACTTTTTAGTTGTCATGACTTGGGGGAAGAGTGGTGCTACTAGCATCTAGTTGGGTAGAAGCCAAAGATACTGCAAGACATCCTATAATGCACAGGACAGTCCCCCACAACAAAAAATAATCTGTCCCCAAATGTCAATTGTGTCAAGATTGAGAGACCCTCTTCTAGAGCCACCTTTCTGAGAGTACCTTGTCCTGCTTCCCTAGTTACAGCCTCTCAGCTTCCACCTTCCTGTTGTGCTTCAGAGCCAGTCTTTGCCTCATTATAACCACTAGTTGTTCAACCTATCCCATCTTCATTAGACCAATGGACCTTTCCACCTGGCATCTTTGGGAATCTGCAATCCTTGCTCATGATTTAGCTTGGGGTGACATGGTGTGAGACCCAGTATAGTATAGTAATTAACCATGTGAGCTTTGCGTACAGACTGGCTGAGTCCGAATCCTAACTTCACTACTTACTATTTATATAACTTTGGCCAAGTTTCTTACTCTCTCTGTGCCTTAGTTTCCCACCTGAAAAAAATGTGGATAAAAATGATACTCTGCTACAGAAAATTGTTGTGAGGGTTAAATGAGTGGATATTTGCAAAGCACTGGGGATGTTGCCTGACACCTAAGTGATAAGTAAATATTGCTGATTATTATTCATTCTCAAGAGCTCACCAAGGTCCATGTTCTTCAACTCAAGTCCTCTTCTCTACTTGAAGTCTGGGGAGCAGGTATATTTTACTTAGGACGATCTGTCTTAAATGTTTGCCTAAACAGTATGTTTTTTCCATTTCTCTAATAGCTAGGGTTTTTTTTGTTTTGTTTTGTTTTTTGTCTTTTTCCGTGTCCGGCAACGGATCGCAACCCTCAGTGCTGCCCCTGTACCGGACCGGGACCGGCAACGGGATCGCAACCCTCGGTGTTGCTCCCACGCCTCGCTCAGCCAGTGAGCGGGAACCGGTCTGTATGTAGGATCCGAACCCTCGGCGGGAGCGCCGCCGCACTTCCCAAGCAGCGCACTATAGCAGTGCGCCACCGGGCCGGCCCTAGCTAGGGTTTTTAAATGTGGAAAGTATGCTGTTTTTCTCTCTCTGGTTTTGGCTATCCATATGCCCTCCCTAAGGCAAAGAGCACTTGGTTGCATGAAGGTGGGTGAGGGCAAAGAGAGGAAAGGGAAAATATTTTGAAATTAGTATCAAGGATGACACACAATTCTCATTCTATAGATGAAAACCGAGGCATGAATGGATGAGAGGATGGATGCATCATGGGCAACACCTACATTTCTGGCATGAGGACCATATGGATTGTGATGCCTTTCACCCTGATATTTATAGAAATAAAACAAAGTTTAGGGGCGAGCTGACAAGTTCACTTTGGCCCATGAGTTTGTGGTGCTTGTAGGAAATGGAGAAACAGATGTCTAGCAGAAAGGGGAATTTATAGATTTAATCTTAGGGGAGAAATTAGAGCTAGAGATATGGATGTAGGACTTTTTGACAAATAAATGGTAGTTGAGTAAATGAGAACATAAAAGGCTATGTAGAAAGGAGATAGCTGAGTCAGAAGAGCATTTTCTGGATGAAGGGATGGAGGGATGGTTGGACAGAACAAGGAGGAAGAAGAACCAACAAAGGAGACAGAATGAAGCACCAGGATCACAAAGGAAGAATGGAGACTAGGAAAAAGTCATGTCATGAAATCCAAGGGAGCCAAGAGAGTCACATGTCACAGAGAAGTCAAGTAAGATGAAGACTGAAAAGTGTCCATTGGATATAGTAACAGGTAGATCACTTTCACCTTGGTGAAAACAGGGACAGTGGAGAAGACAGAGAACAGGGGGTAGCATGAAAAGAGAAATAGCATTTCCAGTAAATTGTAGAAATATATGTTCAAGAAATAACCATCTTTAGATCTTTAGATCACAATAGCCACCACAGTCAGTTATTTCAATCTATAGACCAGCCCTGGAAAAATCACTGAAATGTTTTGGGGAAAAGATGTTCTGCTTGCATTTTTAATTATAATTTTATATACAGAGTTTATATACATTAAATATTATATATACATTTTATCATCAAAAATACATAAAATGACTCATTTCTATAAAAGATAGGTATAGTCAGCAATAAGTTCGTAAACCTATTTATACCCTATAATAAGGCACTGAAAACATTTGGCTTTTATTTGGGGGGCAATACCCTGCAACACTAGAGTGTATCTTAAGCTTAATTAAGTATGTAAGCTTTTGTTTAACAATTGGGCTGTTGATATTGTTATAAACTCTTTATAAATATCATTTTATTGCTGTATTATGATCTATCAAGTGAATATACCATAATTAACATAGTTTCCTATTGTTGTTTCCTACTGTAGTTGCCTAAGGAGTAATGAAATTTGAGAGGCCTTTGTGTGTGTTTTTCCATAGCTATTTTTAAACCACAATAAAATTAGTTTACTTACTGTAAAATAAAAAAACAATTGGGCTGGTGAGAGTGTGTTGTCTATGGTGGGGCCCAAATAGATTCAAGCGTTCTGCTTTAGGAAATGCTTAATGGCCAAAACTACAGTACAGAACATACAAGAGATATGTATGATTTGCTTTAATTTTCCTGTGTTGATACTTTAAAACTTACGTGTTATTAATTGTGTAAAACTGTCACCAAACTCTAGGCCAGTTTTCCTGAATATTGCATCTCATTCAAACATTTGAAAATGAACTTTTGTGCTATTTTAATTATCTTATCTGTTTTAATCATTCAGATCATAAGGCCTATGGAGTCTCTGCCCCAAAAGACCATCAAGTAGTCACAGCAATAGAATACCAAGGTATAGTATCTGACTAATTTTCACCAGCTATGTTGTTTGAATAACTCACAGAGATGACCTGTGTGATATTATCTATTTGTCGGAATCCCCTTGCCTCGCCTTATACTAATTCCTCTGCCTGAAATGCTGCTTTATGCTGTCTCCACCTTCAGGACTCTTTCTCCACTTCCTCAGTGGAAACTTTGGATACTCAATGAAGAACAAAATATACACAGAAGTTCTCTTATTATGTAAATTATCTGCAGCAAAACAAATCTAATTTGTGAGACAGGGAGATATGGTAAATGGAAATTAACACCTCAAGCCCCACTTTATGTATTTAAGATCATAATATAGCCTTTTGCAGCATGCTATTTTCTTATAAATAAGAAAATATTTGTAGCTTCTTTTAAATATTTACAAGGGGGAGTTGGTTAATGGGTATAAAGTTTAATTTTGCAAGATGAAAAAGTTCTGGAGATTGTTATATATACAACAGTGTGAACATACTTAACACTACTGAATTGTACAGTTAAAAATGGTTAAGATGGTAAATTTTATGTTATGTGCATTTTCCACAGTTAAAAATTTGTTAAAAGGAACTAAAAAACAAAAATAAAAATTATAAGGGCTTTTATAAGTGTACTTCAAATATCGACCACCTACTACTTTTCCAAAGGATCTTTTACCTAGAATAGAATTGATAATACTAGGCAACCAGAAGAATTACTATTTCTCTCTTTTTTTATTGAAACTTAATTAATTATACATATGTGTGGGGTACAGAGCTGAGTATCAATACCTGTGTACAGTACATGATGATCAAATCAGGATAATTGGTATACTCATCTTTACAAAATGTAATCATTCTTCATGACCCTTAACCAATTTCTCACTAGCCCCTCACCCTCTCCCCACTCCCACCTCTAATAACCATAGTTCTGTTCTCTCCTTTTGAAAGTTCAGTGTATCATTGTGATTGCTGGTTCTATATACAATGGAATATTACTCAGCCATAAAAAGGAATGGCATTCTGCCATTTACAGCAACATGGATGAGCTTGGAGAAAATTGTGTTAAGTGAAATAAGCCAGGCACGGAAAGAGAAATACCATATGTCTTCATTCATAAGTCAGAGGGGGGAGGGAGGCAGGGAGGGAGGGAGAAAGAAATTACTATGTCTTGAATGTAATGCTTGTTTAGGGCAGAGATTGTAAACATTTAAGTAAGGAACAGGTCCCAAATGTCTGATCTCTCATCTTTAGGTATGTCTTAGGTTCCTGGAGTTCTATATCACTTCCCATTGTGGTGCCAAAAGCAGAATGAAACTAAAATCAGGGCAGCTCTGCCAGGCTTGTAAATTACATAGGCAGCCTTGTTCAGAGAAAGTTCAACCCTAAAAACTATAAATCAGAGTATAACAGAAAACGTTCATCCTCAGAACTAATTTCTAATTCTTCAGAACTACTTAGGTAATATCAATTCTCTTTTTGTGTTATATAAGATTGATGATTTTTTAACTTGAGGACAGAGAATAAAATCAAAAGATAGCATTATAGAATCCTAGAAAAATTAAAATTCATAATGATTCTATCTGTGTGATTCCTGAAAGTGACTATTTCACTATGTGTTGCTGTTAATGCGTTGTCTAAACAAAGAATTATCTTTCTTCAGTTCAAATGAAACAAATTTTGGCAATGAAATAATCACCTTAATAAAAAACTTGGCACATTTTTCTGTTTTAAAATGCCTTGCGTTGAGAAAATTTTCTTTGCTGTCCCAGAGGTAGCACTTTAGTTCAAATTTGAGTGATTTATAGGTAAGTTTGTGATGGCATACTCTATGGATTTCTGTTATGTCAAGGCAAGCTTGCAACTACAACTAAAGAGAAGTTCCTCAGGTTAAAAATACTAGTGACCATTTATGGAGCACACACTATAGGCAAGGTACCATGTGCACCAAGTATGTAAATACATTATCTCATTTAATCTTTACAACAACCTCATGAGATAAGCACTTTATTTTTATGATTTTACAGATGTGGATATAATGTTCAAAAAAAATTAAGTAATCTTCCCAATATCACATACCTAGTATATTGGCAGAGGTCTAGTTCTAGAAATTATGCTATAAACCATTGTATTATGGCACAATGACCTTGAAGCTCAATTTGGAAAATTATGCTGGCTATAGTGTTGAATTTTGGTTGAAGAGGGAGAAGAGTTAGTTTCTAAGTTCAATTTGCTCTCTATCATCAGATGGTTACCTTATGACTCCAGTGTTTTCAGTCTCTGCATTGGTTTCTTAGGCTGCTGTAATAAAATACTGCAAACTAGATGGCTTAAAACAATAGAAATACGGGTGACCCCGTGGCTCTCTTGGGTGAGTGCAGCGCTGTGAGTGCCGAGGCCGCAGGTTCGGATCCTATATAGGGATGGCTGGTGCGCTCACTGGCTGAGTGCTGTGCGGGCGACACCAAGTCAAGGGTTGCAATCCCCTTACCGGTCACAAAAACAAAAAAATAAACAAACAAACAAACCAAAAAAAACAATAGAAATACGGGTGACCCCGTGGCTCTCTTGGGTGAGTGCAGCGCTGTGAGTGCCGAGGCCGCAGGTTCGGATCCTATATAGGGATGGCTGGTGCGCTCACTGGCTGAGTGCTGTGCGGGCGACACCAAGTCAAGGGTTGCAATCCCCTTACCGGTCACAAAAACAAAAAAATAAACAAACAAACAAACAAAAAAAAACAATAGAAATATATTCTCACAGTTCTGGAGGCAAGAAGTTCAAGATCAAGGTGTTGGTATCCTAGGGTCTAGGCACTGACTCTTCTTCTCTTGTGTGGAACACTCTTTCTCAAAGAACCAAATGGCAAATCCCATCCCACTTTTAAATCTTTGGTCAAATGTCACATTCTAAATGAGGTGAACTCTACCTTGTTTTTAAAAATTACATCCCCATCTCCAGCACTCCCAAGCCTTCTGTTCTCTGTTCCACTCTCCTTTATTTCCATAGCATTCATCACCTTCTAACATATTGTATAATTTATGCACTTCACGATGTTTCTTGTTTGCCTGACTACCCAGCTAAATTATAAGACCCCAAAGAGCAAAGATCTTTGTTCTGTTCACTGATATAGCTCAAGAACCATGTTGGGCACGGTAAGCAATCAACATATTTTGGCTGAATTAGACCATTTCTGCACGTTTTACATGGTCAGTCAGAGAGAGGCTGGAGTGAGGTCACCAGACTTAGGAAAATTGTTGGTTATATTTTCTTTCTTTTTTTTTTTTTTTTTAAAAGATGACCGGTAAGGGGATCTTAACCCTTGACTTGGTGTTGTCAGCACCACGCTCACCCAGTGAGCGAACCGGCCATCCCTATATGGGATCCGAACCCATGGCCTCGGTGTTATCAGCACCGCACTCTACCGAGTGAGCCACGGGCCGGCCCCGGTTGGTTATATTTTCTAATAAAATTTTCACAGAGGTTTTTCCACAGACCAGTAAGAATAGAAATCAGGAAGAATTCTTTAAGAGGGTGTGTGTGTGTGTGTGTGTGTGTGTGTGTGTGTGTGTGTGTGTGTGCACGCACATGTATTTAGCTAAATATATAAAACAATGTGATCATTTGAGTATACAATTATTCCTAAGATGTAGGAGTAAGACACGGTGAATGGGCTAAAAATGAGTGTGGGTGTATGTTTAATTGTTGGAAACTCAATAAAATACAGGAAGGAAACCTATCTAAAACTCAAGACTCCGGAAGTTCTCCACCCATTCTCCTTAATCAACAGAACAGAACTGTGTTTCCTCAGACAGGTCCCTTAGTACACATTTGTCTTTGAGGCCTAGTTGTAAACACGTCTGTAAAATGATGTCTCTCTGTAATGTAAAACATGCTTTAAAAACTTTAGACATCCTTGAAACTTTTGGTTCTTTTTTCTTGCTTTTCTCTGCCCTACTTCCTATTTTCCATTATCTTTTATTCTGTTTCTTGTATATTTCTAGCAATATGTGTAGACTTAAAAAAATTATAAACTACATAAAAAAAAGAAAAAAATCATAACTTTCATACAGAAGTTGCGCCTGGATTACTATTTTCATACATATTCTTATAGGCTTTTTGTCCATGTCTGTGTGCATATTTTTAATAAAACCTGGGATAATATTATAAGTATTGCTCTCTAATCTACTGTGTCATGTAAAATCCCATATTCTTTTTTAAAATGGCATTAAATTTGCTTGATTGAAATCAGAGGTATGGAAAGGATTTTAACATAATTTCTCTTCTAGTCAAAGATACTGGGCTTTATTTAGGTCAAACCATATGCCTTGTGGTGGGGGGAAACATTTCAGAAATATGAAGTTGACATTCTAGAGAGAGCTTGGCTGAAACATCCTTTAAAAATATTTATAACTTTAGGTTTCCATTTGGCAACTTGAAGCTTGAAGCAGTTTGCAGACTGGCACTGGTTTTTTTCTTCCTTCAGTCATCTTGTTTGAACAGTCTTAAAAGGGGTGTCCTTCAGATGTTCCAGGAATCTTTTTTTTTTTTTTTTTTTTTTTGGTGGCTGGCTGGTACGGGAATCCAAACCCATCACCTTGGTGTTGTAAGGCTGCACTCTAGCCAACTAATCTAACTGTCCAGCCCCAGGAATTGTTTAATGACACGACTACAGTAAATTTTCTGTAATTAAGTGAACTTAGCTACATCAAGGCAGTTAAACTAATCCTAAGATTAAATCTTTTAATAATTTATCTGAATAGAGGTAAGGTTATATAGGCAGTTGTTTTGAGGTAGGAATCAATGATTTATTAGAAGACCATATTGGGTTTGTATTAATGTATTTGTAGAGAGGACTAACAAAGAAAATTGAAAAACACCATAGTGTCACATAATTATTATGTGGAAAAGCTATAATGCTTCCAATTCATCTTTGGGTTAAGCTAACATGGTATCTGTTGATGTAATTTATGAATGAATGACTGACTGAATGAATAGAACTACAAAAGAATAATTTTAAGTAATGTTTAAAAATTTGTTTCCTAATTAACTAAAATATAAATCCATGAGGACAATTAGAAAGCAAGTGTTTTGTTTTTGTTCCTAGAGGTTGTTTTAGCCTGTAGAAACCCAAGGAAGACCATTTCCTTCAGATTAGAGTGGAAGAAACTGGGGCGGAGTGTCTCCTTTGTCTACTATCAACAGGCTCTTCAAGGTAAGAAGCTGTAGACTTGAAGAGATGAGAATAAGAGAATGCCAAGTACAGCCCAGATCCTTTAACTAACAAATGAAAACAGGACATGACTGATTACAGAAAATGTGTTTTTATATGTGTGAGATGAAACCAACAGTGTCTAAGACTTAAAACACAACAGCCACAAAAACAGAATAGAGAACAGGAGTAGGTGAACCCCACTGAGTCCCTGGACCCTTCATTTCTCAGCTCAGTCCTACAGGATGCAAAATGCAATTGTTCTTCCTGTAACAATAGATTAAACTCTTGAGAAAAGGGAAGATAAAATGGGGTGAGGTTGGGATGGACAGTTGCTGCTCAGTAATAATACCCTCCCACCGTATTTTCTTATCTCTATCTAGAAAGCTAGGCTACCTCTGCAATGCTTAGGGAGTTAGGACTTATGGAAGAGTAATTACAATGACCATTACCAAATGCTTTCTTTTCTTCCTTCCTTCCCTCTCTTATTCTTTTCTTTCTTTCTTTCTTTCTTTCTTTCTTTCTTTCTTTCTTTCTTTCTTTCTTTTGTTATCTGTTATACACTTCTTTCCACTCCCTACTCTTCCTGTTGAATATGTGATGCACTTTTAATTTAAACTGTTAATAATGATGGATGAAATGTTAACGTGTCCATTTCCTTCCAAATGTGGTTGGGGCACAGATGACATAAGATAGGCCATGTATTGAATATTATAGCTGGGTGCTGGGAACATTAAGGTTCCTTTTACTCCTCTCTCTGATTGTGTCTATGCTTGGATTGTTTCCACTATAAATATTTCTAAAGTTGGAAATACAATTTGACAAGTATAATAAACATGTTATTATTTTTAAATACCATGTATTATTTTAACTATAAAGAATTAAGTGAAAAAATGTTTAAAGTTCATAGAAAATTTAAAATATTCCCTCTGGTTCTTATCTGTCAAGATAAGACTACAACCTGCAAAGTGATCATAGCACAGCTCTCTTTGCTTGAATCTTCTACAGTTGCCAATTCTGGCACCTGCGCATTACGCAAAACCCTATTTTAATTTTGTACACATTACTATCAAAAACTAGCCAAAAGAATGTTTTTAAGACTCCCTCCTCACACCTTTTCTTCTGTGTTAGTAACATGTGGGCCAGCACACATAAGATTTGGCCAATTAAACCAGGCTCTCCAGTGTTTTTTGAAGACAGGAATATTTTTACAAGGGTACTAGGAAGGGGGTGAAGTAGGCATTTGGGTTAAATTCTTTAAAATAAAATATGAGAATATGAAACTGAATGTTGTTTTTTGGACAATCTTTTAAAAATGTCCTTCTAAAAAAATTTAAATAACAGCACCTGTATATAATTTTTAAGTTTTAAAATTGAGTTTATTAATAGGAAAATAAATGCTTTAGTTACTAAATGAAGGGACTTGAGGAAGGTAGTACATAGAAAGTTACTTTGCATTATTACTAACATAATTATCTTCTTTTTCTAAAGGTGACTTTAAAAATCGAGCTGAGATGATAGATCTCAGTATAAGGATCAAAAATGTTACAAGAAATGATGCTGGGAAATATCGTTGTGAAGTTAGTGCCCCATCTGAGCAAGGCCAAAACCTGGAAGAGGATACAATCACGCTAGAAGTATTAGGTGATGTGTATGTGTGTATGTTACTACTGTCCCCACTCTGTGCCCCTCCACCTAGCCCTGGGGACAATGAGGCACTGGTCCATGAACACACAAACATTAATTGGGAGCCCCAATCAGTAAAGTTACAGAGACCACAAGCACCACCCTTCCGTCAAGATCTTGGCTGTTTCTCCCATCACATCATTGGCTGCTGAAATTTTACTATTACTAATGCATTATCACAACGTGTCTCTTTGTTTAAGATTGAGGTAATTCCTAGTGGTCCTACACTGTACATAGAAGCATCTTTCCTGAGAGTTTGTTTTTCAGTAGCTTTCAGCATACATACTATTTCTCTTGCCATCTAAATCAATATCACATGAGATAATAGAAAAGCAATAAAACAAAAAAGTAGACCAGAGGAAGAATTAAAAGTTATTTGGTAAAGTAAAGAAATTAGCAGTTATTGTGCAGCTAATGTGGGTTAGGCCCTTTCACATATGTAATTTTACTTAATCTTCACTGACAACCTGATTTTCATAGATAAGAAAATAGAAGTTAAATTATTTTCCCAAGGCCACACAGCTAGAATGTGTCTGGACCAGGATTTGGATCCAGATGGGGTTAACTCCAAAGCCAGTATGTTTAGTTACTATGAGAATCACTGATAGTTAGAGCTCATGATGGCAATTGGTGGAGGAACACAGTGTTTCCTCTTTCATTGGTGTTAGCATAAACTAACAAGTAAAGGGGATAAATTAACTCCTCTTCCTTTTTTTATATTATCCAGGCTCTTCCTAAAATACTAGTGAGGCACTAGTATAGAAAAAATTTAATTCAGAAAATGTTGCAGTAGACTTAGCTGGTGTATTCATTTTCTCTTGCTGCATAATAAATTATCACAAAGTTTGCAGCTTAAATGAATACCCATTTACTAGCTCATAGTTCTATAGATTAGAATTTCAGCAACAACATGACTGGGATCAACGAGGCTGAAATTGAGGTGTCAGCTAAATTGAGTTCTTATCTGGAAGCTCTGGGGAAAATCCATTTATTTCCAAGCTTACTTTTGGTGTTGGCAGATTTTAGTTCCTTTTGGTTGGAGGACTGAGGTCCTCATTCCATGCTGGCTATCAGCTGGGAGCCACACTCAGTTCCTAGAGGCCAGCCACATATCTTGCCACTTGGCCTCTCCCATCTTTAATCCTACAAAAGCATGTCAAATTCTTCTTGGGTTTTGAATCCCGGACTATCCCTTCTGTAACCAGCCAGAGAAAGCTCTCTGCTTTTTAAAGGAGTCATGTGATTAGGTCAAACCCATCCACAAAATCTCTCTGTCTTAAAGACCATTTGGGACCTTAATCACATCTCCAAAATCCCTCCACACTAGATTAGTGTTTAGATAACTGAGATAGATTGTATACACCAGAGATGGAGATCTTGGGAAATCATATTAGAATTCTGCTTACCAAAGCCAGTTCTGGGTTTTCCTGGATATTAGGTCACCCAATAAAATCTTTGTTTTACTTTCCAAATCCCTGAGGCCAGAATAACCCACATTCCTATCACAGATATTTTCTAACTTGGCCAATCCTGTACAGAATGGGATTTTAGTTGAGTACTAAGCCTGAAAAATATACTACAGTTTGACTTTTTTGAATATAGTTTGCAATAAACATTAAAACCATTGGTGAGAAAACAGTAGAGATTGTTTATGTAAAAAGGAATAGCTGTTGTATTAGCTGAGGTTGCTAATAATTGCTTTTATAACACATAAACCCTGAACTCTCAGCAAGTAGTTTAGCATAACAGAAGTTTCTTTCTCACTTAAATAAAGCCTAAATAGTTGGGGCAGGAGTTATGGTGGACCTGTATTGCTCTACTTTATGAAATCATTAGAGACTCAGTCTAATGTAGGTCTAACATGTTCAATACATGACTTTCCGAGGTCACCTTGGATGTTGCCACCTACTTGGTAATGGGAGGGGGCAAGGGGAGTGAATGAATGGAGAATCATGCAGGAGATTTTTATGGGTCAGGCCTGAAAATGGCATATATCACTTTTTCCCACATTCCATTAAACAGAACTCATGCAAATGACCCCATCTGGCAGCAAAGGAGCTGGCAAATGTGGTCCACATTGTGTCCATGAAGAAAGGAAATGGGTCTTTTGAACAAGTAGCCAGTCTCCATCACAGGTGTCTAGTAAGTACATCTTTACCTGGCTGTTAAAACCCTTGCTTAGCTTATAAATAACCAATACTATTGGACTTCCATTCTTCAGTGGCTCCAGCAGTTCCTTCATGCGAAGTGCCCACTTCTGCTCTGAGTGGAACTGTGGTAGAGCTACGGTGTCAAGACAAAGAGGGGAATCCAGCTCCTGAGTACACATGGTTCAAGGATGGCAACCGTTTGCTCGAGAATTCAAACTTTGGCCCCCAAAGCACCAACAGCTCATACACAATGAATATAAAATCCGGAACTCTGGTAAGGTGATTTCAAGTATTGGCCTAATACTATGTTGCATTTGGATAAAAAAACAAAATTTATTAGAACTTAAGATGATGGAGAATAGAGGACTGATACCATTGCTTGCTAAGTGAGGAGAGAAGGGGTAGCAGGAATGATGGTGGTACCTGCAAAGAGAAGTGAGGGAAAGGATGAGCACAGGAGATGGGAAGACATACTGGGAACTAGGGAGCTGAGCACATGGGGGTCTGTACCAGTGACCTGAAGCAGGCCAAGCCTGACTCATGCTGATGGATCAGGCAGTTCTTACAGCTACCTTCCTGGCTTGGAAAATTAGTAAGTGTAGTCTCAATTTACACCACCAGAGAAATACAAAAAAAGCTTGCTGGGGGATACTCTGACCCCAGTGTTGACTAACCATGTGAAAATAGTGACTATAGTCAGCCCATGGCACGCTGTCTGTATCATTGATGGAAACCTATAAATAAGCTCTTTAAAGTTAATGACATTTTAAAATAAAAAAGTATTTTTACTTTTCTGTCTTTTCAAGGTAGACGTGGGAGTAAAAACAGGTCATTAAGCTTGAAGCTTTTTTTCCCAAAAGTAATATCACATGTCAGTTTTAAAATGTCTGACTCCCAGCAATGCAGTGTCACTACCACAACCATTACAAAAAAAAAAAACTTAAAGGCATGGTAATAATAATGATAATTTTAATGAATTTTGAAAAGGTATAATGTTTTCTTTCATTCCTTCTCAATCTCCAAGTGCACAATTAACATGTAAAAACTAGATCTTTTGGTAACTGATAAGGTAAAGTGGCTAACTAATAAAGAGTATCAGCAAGTGTGGCTACCCTTGAGTAAGGCTGTCCTTCGGCCCTTTTGGCAGTCAGCAGGCACAGTCAGCAGGTCCGAGTGATTTTACACTGAGAAATTGGGCAGAAAACCTGCTGTCACACTTTGCTATATTTACTTTTCAAAGCTATTTTTTCTCAGAGCAGGTGATAAAAGCCCCAAGGCAAGTCTGAAATAATATAGATTCTCTTTCCTCAGTTAGACCCAACTCTTGAAATATCTCATGATGTCCAAGGAGTGCACCTGAGTTGAACTGGGATGGGTTCTGTTGTGAGAAAGGAACAAAGACCCAGAGTGTGGATGCCAGTGACTGCCTTTTAATCACAGGTTATAATGTGCCAGAAAATCATTTTGGGTTTTAGTCTAACTTATTATTTCTGTGTAACCTTGGCCCTGAGTTTATGGTGCGTATTCTAAAAGTGTTCTCGTATTTGAAGGAGTGAGAGGTGATTCCATAGAGTGAAAACAACCCAGGAAGAGCTATCTATCCCACCATGGTGAAGTATCAGAAACAAGGGATGTAGGTAGTGGGTGAAAAAAAAGAAAGTGGAAAAAGAGTTAATAGATGAAAATCCTGGCTATTTTTAAGAACATATATTGCAGGAGGATCCAAGACAGTGAGAAGGTGCTTCTCAGAGCTTCAGGCTCCCATGCATGAGGTCAGCAGTGACCATGGCAGTATTGAGAATGTGACCAGGAGGGGACATGCCGTCTCCCTCCCACACTCTGTACTGGTCCTGGAAGTATCCTTCAAGGTGTCCAAAACTGCTTTCCCTCCCTCTTCTCTCCCTTCCGTCCTTCCTTCCTTCCCTCCTTCTTTCCACCCCTCCCTCCTTGCTTTCTTCTTCCTTTCCTTTCTGTCTGCCTTCATTCCTTTTAGAAATTCTCCAAGGGAATACAACTACTGAGGAGAATTATGAAGTCTGCCATATCAAAGTTTTACCTTTCAGTTGCTTTGGCAGGAGCAAGGGCTGGACTTTATCTTTTCAGAATTTTCAAAAATTCCGGAAACAATTGAATTTATAATCCTATAAATGACACCAGTTAAGATTTTCCTAGGCCCTAAACTACTGCTGGTAGTCACTCTGGTTCTTTAGAGGAAGTGTTTATTGTTTGCTACTGCAGTGAATTCGCTTGTGGCTTAGGATAGTGCATTAACCCTTTGACCAGTAAGGCATTCATTTATAAATGGTGTTTCTAGGAATTAGAAATACCTAGTTTAATACCACCTTGTGCTATAAACTTTAAAAAGTACCCACTGCCTTCCTAACTATACTGCTTTCTTAGTAGCATTTAAAAAAGAAAGAAAGAAAAGAAAAAAGAAACTTTCCTGCATATATTTAAGTCTTTCTCTGCCAAATTAAACAGGAGGTCCAGCTGTTTACTCCTTGAAGTCATGGCAGATTTTTGAACTCAAGGTAAAGATATAAAATTCTGAGTTATTAAAAAAGAAAGACTAACTTAATGCTAAAATTTAAGGGACATAGTAATTTTAGGAGTCTACTTATAGGTTTATTGTTTAAAAATATATATTTATTTTACCTTTCACAAACAGCAATTTAACACTGTTTCCAAACTGGACAGTGGAGAATATTCCTGTGAAGCCCGTAATTCTGTTGGATATCGCAGGTGTCCTGGGAAAAGAATGCAAGTAGGTAAGCATGAAATATTGGGAGGAACAAATGGTTTGCAGTTTGAGGGAGTGAAAGGAGCAAGAGGTAGGAAATGGATGAGTGATTTGAAGGATAAACAGGAGGGAATGTTTAAAATTAGCTTGATATATTGCAAAGGAGCAAAGATAGCTGTTTTTAATCTATCTCCCAAATAAGCCAAGAATATTAAGTATTATATTTAACAAATTTTTTAATTTTTCAAGTAATTGTATGCCTTCTTCCTCTTTTTATTTATTTATTTATTTATTTTGACAGCTGGCCAGGACGGGGATCAAACCCTGCACCCTGGTGTTATCAGCACCATGCTCTAACCAACTGGCCAGTGAATTTTTCAAATAATTGTTTTTAAAATATGCTCTTCAAAGTAATCTTTCTTTCAAATGAAATCTAAATGTCTTATACTCTGTAAATTGCTGAGGGCCCAGGAGTCTGCATGGGTTCAATTTCCAGCTCTGCCACTTTCTAGCTACATACCCTTGGGCGAGTTATTCAACCTAGGTGCCTCAGTCTCCCCAAAATGGAAGTAGTAATATACTTTCCTCATGGAGTTGTTATGAAGATTAAAATAATCAGTATTTAAAAGCGCTGGCACATTGTCAGCACTGTATAAATGTTAGCTATTTTTGTTTTTATCAAGTTGTTGGATGATATTTTCAATCCCTTGAAATACTAAGCTTATACTTGTTACAGAGCAGGCTCTCAAAAAAGATATGAAAAATAGTTATGAATCTAGGTTGCTATAAAACATAGCTGCCATATATTACATTTTACAAAATAAGCTTCTTAGAGTCCAATAAAATTAGTTCTTAAGAATCTTTCCTAGGTTATATGAGTTTCAAAGCAAACATATTATTTCTTTTTTTATTTTTAATAATTTGGTTTAATTCTTCCTTGTGTCTTGAATATAGTTGTATACTAGAGAGGGATGTGCTGGAGATGGCACCTGAGGGGATCAAGGTCACTTGGGAGGGCTGCACCCAGAAGCAGTAGGACACAAGTTGGTAACATGATAGTCTTTTCAAACTTGGGTCCAAAAAATCCAATTGTGTTAGAGGAGAAATGACTTAACAGCAACTGGAGAAAGCCTAGGGGAGTTAATTCACTTTAAACTCAATGGGGGATGGGCCAGTTAGCTCAGTTGGTTCGAGTGTAGTGTTATAATACCAAGGTCAAGGGTTTGGATCCCCATACCAGCTAGCCCAATCAGATGACAGATAGTGGCATATATGTATGTGGCCATGTATGTGTATAAGTACACACACAACCCTCTATGTAAATTGAAGAAAGACTGTTTTTGACACAGTTTTACAGAATAACAATGGCACATGCTTTCTTTGAGGCTGAGGGAGTTTTCCCGTATTTGTGAAATCAACACAGATGATGTAGAAGAATTTTAAGTAAAATTTGAGGTGTGTAGGGGGAGGAGCAGTAGAATACTTGAAGTCATTGAACTTCAAAGATTTCTTCTAACCCAATATTTAATCCTGTGAATTATTACATCTCCAAATGAATGCAAGAGAATAGCATACATTTTGCTTCTGCATCATAGAACATTTTAAAGCTTAGTTCTGTTAGTACTTTTAATCAATTTTGAACCGTGTCCTAGAAGTAAGTTAGTTGAAAAGGCTTCAAAAGCACGACTGCAAAGATGAGCTTTTTTAAACCTTTTCACTTGAATGACCACATCTGTCCATCTATTTCACATGAATTTATGTGTTGTTTATTTCACATTCCAGATGATCTCAACATAAGTGGCATCATAGCAGCTGTAGTAGTTGTGGCCTTAGTGATTTCCGTTTGTGGCCTTGGTGTGTGCTATGCTCAGAGAAAAGGCTACTTTTCAAGTAAGTGAATTTCACCCTTCTTTGATGGACAACTTCCTGTGGATATAGAGTTTTCTTATGAGACACTGTTTCTCCTAAGAAGTTCTAACAAACTCCAGAGAATATTTTTTATTGATTTTCTGCTGTAGAAAATATTCAAGATGACATGCACATGTGTTATGAGGCATCTTGACAAACACAGGGAGAAAAGGCCGAGTTGCTTCATTGCAAAGTTCCAGGGAACACCATAGAATATGTGAGAGGCATCCTTGGAGTGGCCCAGTGCAGCAAGACAGCTGTTCAGTGTGGATGGATGTAGTATATTTATGTGTATTTAAAATCCTTTTAAGTTAGGCATTATATATCTGAAGATATCAATTGATTTCTAGTTTTATAAGAAAGTTCATTGAAATAAGTAGGTGGAATGTTTTATCAGTATAAAACAGTGAAATGTTGAATGTCAAATTTAGCACAACTGTATTTGGAAGAGAATTGTTCAATCAAAACTAGAAACTTAGGGGCCGGCCCGGTGGCGCACTGGATAGTGCGCCACTTGGGAAGCGCGGCGGTGCTCCCGCCCGAGGGTTCGGATCCCACATACAGACCGGTTCCCGCTCACTGACTGAGCGAG